TAGATTATTATATTTTAACTGTATCCGTTATTTCTGATTGTCGCAAAAAAAACTTGGCGAATGACGAATTCGCCCTTTAATATGGTGGTTGCTCGAAGCTATTTACATATATTCGAAATTGCATGAAGCTTATTCAGGTAAAAAGCTACCTACGTACAAAATTTCAATCAAATCGGACCATAGATACGATTTTTCTAATAGATCGGTCGCTGGTCCACTTCGCGTAAAAAAAATTCCTATAAATAAATATATTCCTATAAAATTTCTAGTTCCGTACAAGATCTTTATCGCCAAAAACGAACCAGTCCGATAGTAAGTAGATCCCCACCAGTTCAAAATCAGCGAAATGTGGGTCTCTTAAAAAAACTATTTTAATTCTCTTTTTTCATTAGAAATCTATATCTAAAGTGACGAATTTAGAACTGGTTCGGAATTATAGAAAAAGGGACGCAGAACGAACTAGATCTTATCTGTCGAATTTATAACTAGTTCGAAACTATCGAAAAAGGGATGCAGCGGGGGCTTGTTTACTTTACATAGATATGTGTTTGGCGGCTTTTTCGTTCAAATGCACTTTCATTCTGCACTTCGCAGATGCTATTTCATAGTTTGGTACTACAAAACAAAATTTTGTATTAACATACTAACATCTTGGGGCCAACTGGAATGTAACAAATAACAACGATCACCTCTGCAAAGTCAGCTACAGCCAAAGGTATGTAAACGTACATTTCTTACAATCATTCAAACAAATTTAATTTCAAATTGAAAAAAACGTTTCTTTGAAAATAATGTAAAATCGCACACACGGAAGAACCAAAAAGATTGAAAAATCATGATACTTTTTTCTTTCGTCCGTCGATTTTAGAACTGGTTCGGAACTATAGAATTTAGGACTAGTTCGGAACTATCGAAAAAGGGATGCAGCGGGGGGCAGTTGACACTTCCTAGGACATCGCCATCTTAAATTCGCCAGTTGTTTGTATGCAAAAGAGATTTATCGCGAACCAGTGCTGGGTCTAAACGTACTACATGCGCACCAGTTTAGAACTAGAGATTTTCCCCACAGGGATATGCTAATCTAGGCAAAAAGCTACCTACATACCAAATTTTAAGCAAATCGGACCATAAGTACGATTTTTTGAATAGATAGATCCCTGGTCCACTTCCCGGAAAAAAGGATCCTATATGCTAATCTGGGTAAAAAGCTACGTACGTTCCAAATTTTAAGCAAATCGGACTACAATAAAACTTTTTCGAATAGATCGGTCCCTGGTCCATTTACCGGAAAAAAGTAAATTTTTTGGCCTAAAACATGGTAGTTGCTGAAAGCTATTTATATACAAAATTTCATGAAAATCGGACCAGCCGTCCGCGAGATTACCTGTTACAAAGAAAAGGGACTTCTCTTTTTATATAATTAGTATATGTATATATATATATAATAGATAATCTTTACTACGTACTTTAGTTAGGATTAGACATGGGTTAGCCAAGGATTAGAGACATGATCCACTGAACAGTAATAAGGGATTTGATTTTTTGAATTTGAGTTTTGTCGTTATTGCATAGGACCTTCGATATGTGAATTCGTTTATTTCGAAAATGAAATAAATTCGACCATAAATACGATTTTTAGTAACATATACATATGTAACTGAATTTCAGCGCCTCCTGGTGGCAAATTTTTTTCGAAAGAATTCTGTTTCTTGTTATCAATATATATTTT